TGTTTGAGAATGCTCCAGTAAAGAGGGGGAAAATGGATGAGGAAGAAGAGAGAATATATCATAAACTACTGGAATGCTACCAGTTGAGCAGAAAAGAAGCCTACCTTTAGAAAGAAAACCTTGAAGATATAAGTACTATGCTTTACATTTTGTCATTAGATTGGAATGCAGATGTGTTGTATTTTCTGAACTGAATTCCTGGTAACCTGAGGTACATGATGGTGACAAGAACGAGACGTGTGTTGTATTTTAAGAAAACATTTCCAGAGTCAGGAGAGAGGTCTGAACTAAAGATAACATGATATGCCTTTGCTTCATCAAAGAAATCCACATTCAATTATTGACTATATCTTGGTTATAAAACTATATCTTTCCTTAATCCCCATTTATTTGGATTTCATGGTAATTCAGGTTCAGATAAACTAAGTTAGCCTGAGAAATAAGCAAATGAAATTTGCAGAGGGATATTTAACATCCTTTTATAGAATTGTTTCCAGGCTCTGTACAAGGAGCCCTTTAACGCATAGGTATACTAATTACAAATGTTCCTTCTCTCTTCAACAAAGTGAGCAGCCCTTTGTCAACCTTTATCAGGAAAAAATGAGAACCATTCTAACAAGAAGTCTGCAAGGTTAGTTTCTGGTGCCTTTACCAGAAATGTGTCAGCAGTGACATCACTGACTAAAAGCACACGTGGCGATAACAAAGCAGACCAACTACAAATGATAATGAATAGTAGTAATTAATGTTCCTGTCGTGCTTTACTCTTTGTCAAGAAACTTTGAACACATTCTACTGTTCCATTGATTCAGCAAACATGCTTGATGGCCTTTTGTGTTCGAGGTGCTAGAAGTTTAGCTGTGAAAAAGTTCCCTCTCTTATGAAGCTTAACATGAGCTGCAGAACAACCTGACAAAATAAGTAGGTCAAGTACTATTATTATTCTTTACAGATGAGGACATTCTAAAGCTTAATTAAAACTTAGATTTAAATCACTACCATTCTAGGAATTTGGGGTCCCGATGAAATCTTATCACCAGTATTTTCTTTCTCAGAACTGTTCAGAACTCAGCACTTCAATACAAGTTGTACCGTGAAATATTATCTTCATAAATATAATGAAATTCTGTGATGGAAACTCTTTTGCATTAAAAAAAAAACCTCATTCCAGTACTCAGTCTAATAACCATGTGTCTAGAAGAGCCATTTTATCTTATGAAAACACCAGTTACAGCTAATCCACCTAGAGTAACTGCTCTTTGAGCCTGATAAATTATTTACTGCCAAAAGAATTACTGTGGTATCTGAAATGTATCAGCATTTTCTTCAACAACCTCCACAACTAAAACACAACTGCCTTTATTTTCAACTCTTTTTTAAAAATCTGACTTTTTACCCTTTGCGTTGAGTCAATTAATTGTTGGAATTTATAGAAGTGTTATTGTTTTCTAAGTTTAAGACACACCTTATAAATGAAAATAGTTATTGTAACATCTTTCAAATGTATATAAGCCAAATACAAACTCTCTTCAGTGTATGTGACTAGAGGTAGAGTTTTTTTCTTCATTGAGAAAAATTTTATGAGATTTAAAAAAATAAACTAAGTGATGTACGAGACCCTCTCTTCCCTCCTTAACTCTCTGGTAACTTTCTCTGACTGTTGGAAGATAAGATTCGTGTAACAAGACATTAAGTGGGAAATTTCCTGTAGGAACTAAGTACAGAGTATTCTCAAGAGAAAGTTGCCAATAATGGAGTCAGCTACCCTGTTCAGGATTGACCAGGAGGTGGTGAAACCAGGCGCCATCAGCTGCCTGTGTGGACAGGCAGAAGACTGGTGTTGGGGAAGGGCAGAGAACTGTCTGAGCCACTGAGGAGAGCACATGGGAGAAGAGAGAGGTGTCCCCATGCACTTAGAGCCTACTCTGGAAGAGCTCTAAGAGGAAGTCTCATGCAGAGTGGGGGAACCTGCCAGAAGGGGAAACGGGCATCTCATTCCACAGTCAGACTTCTGATAGGCAGATGCACCAACCTGAGCTGAAGAAGAGAGAACTGGAGGGACATGTCCTGGCAGAGAGGGGAGTGGTCACAGAGCAGCCTACCCTGCAGAGCCAGGCTGTATGTATGTGTGATGTGGGCGGGTGTGCAGGAGGAGTCTGGGTTATACCCTCTCCCCTGTGTCCCGTACAACGGGTGAGCATGGGCTCTAGGAGGGCTGAGTAGAGGTTGGAGGAAGTCAGGCTTGGGACATATTTCTCACATCAGGAACTGTGCAGTGGGGACTCCATCCATCCCTACAGAGCCCTCCAAAGATCTCACACAGAAACGCAGTAGAACCTGTGTGGGGCAGGATGGTTGCACCCCCTACAAGAGGACACCGGAGGCCATTACTCCGGTGGAGCATTACTCTAGGAAGCAGTGCAAGCTGTCAGAGAATTCAGCCATAGCCGGATAAGAAAAGACCCCTTTGTCCTTCTCCTGTACTCCCCTCTCCAACAAAGGGCATGAAGGAGGTAGAGCTTGGGGTGGGGGATATCCACGATTGACCATACCACCCCACTCCTCCCTACTCCTAGTGGAAGAAGGAAGGCGAAGAGGACCGAGTACAAATCAAGCGTCTTGTAACCACCATGGGATTTTTAAGCCTCAAGCCTGGCTTGTGGGGAGGGAGGGCAAGGTCTGAATCAGATGATACTGGGGTTTTTTTACAAGATGGATTCTTAGTGACTCAGAGTGACCAGGAAGTTACGAGGTCTGCCCCAAGTGTCAAGTGGCCTGGTGCCCATCAGGGAGGGGAGATGGGGCTGGCCCTTTTGGGAGTAATGAGTGGAAAACAATAAACCTTTCGGGTATTTGACGCCTAGTGGAGTTGAGACTGTTCCTTGAACTTACCACTTACATGTACACTTGTTCCAGGGTCGGTAAAACCAGTTCCATGTAACTGGAGCCTGCCTTTGCCTCCTTTGCCTTCCCGTGAGGTCAGTACCGTGCTGACACCCCTTCCCAGCCATCCCAGCAGGCCGACACGTGTGACACTCTCGTGTCACCTGAGCAAGCCACTTACCCTTTCTGAATGTCAGTGTCTTCATCTGTCAAATGACAAGTGGTTCCTGGGTTACTTCTAGCATTAAGAGTCTGTGGAAGTTGGGGCTCCTAGGTGGCTCAGTCGCTTAAGTGGCCGACTCTCGATTTCGGCTCAGGTCGTGGTCTCAGGCTGGTGAGATCGAGCCCCACATCAGGCTCTGCAGTCAGTGGGGAGTCTGCTTGAGATTTTCATTCCCTCTCCCACTGCCCCCCCACTCTCCCTCTCTCTGTCTCTCTCAGATAAATAAATAATTTTTTTTTTTTTAAGTCTGTGAAAATTGTGAAAGAATGAGCTCAGAAATGTGGATGAGAGTACTGGAAATATGAAAGGTATCCTCCTGCTTGTCTGTTTGTGCCAGTTAAGATGGTCATCCCACCAAAGCATGGAGTTGGTATATTTAAATCAGGTGGCAGCTATTGTAGACAAGGCTGGAGGTTTAATGGGCACAAGACTTAACTTGCTAGAGATTGAGTTTTTGAAAGGTAGGAAGAGGAAGATCCCCTGTGGAGAGAATACCAGGAAGTCTAGGGAGGGAACTGAGAGTAGCAGAGCCGGTTTAAGTGGGAGGTGGTTGCAGTTGCCTTCGGCCAGACCCCAAGGATCTTACTTCCTTAAGGGAATGCCAGTTACCTAACAATCTGTCCCCAGCAAGCCATCCAGATGACAGAAGGGATGGAAAGCAAAGATGTCTGGGGGAGAGGGGGGAATGCCACCGTCACTGGACAGAGAGATGTTAAATTTCTGGTGAGCGTTTCTGGGAGGGTGAAGGTAGGGAAAACATTTAGCCAGGGATAAGTTTCTTTTCCATAATTCATTTGCTGATGCAATTGTTCTTTGCCGGGCTTCTAAACCATATTGTGGTTATGTTCTTATCTCCTTCCTGCATGATCTTTGTACGGCCTGCTTGTGAATTCTGGGGATGTTCACAGTGCTTACTGAGTAAGTTTAGGCATGCTGCCATTTTCTGTGATTCAATTTCATGATGTCTTTTAGAATGATGGAATTCAGGAAAAGAACTCTATAAAGATCAAGCCAGGAACCTCTTCGGTTTATTTGGTGGTTTCTGCTGTAACTCCTAGGAGGGGGGATTAGCTTGGCATTTGGTTCTAAGCAAGCAAACATTATTGCCTTTTAATAATTGTTAATTCTTAGCTTGTTAATGGTGTGGTGGAGAGTCAGGATGATGGAGCTGAGCTGACTCATTATAGGCTCCCCACTGCTATTCCCCAAAGTGTCTGCTTCAGTAACAGACCCTGGCTTCCTGACCCCAACCCCTCCCTGCCCTAGTTTCCTTCCTGCCACCTCCCCCGCCACTCCCTTCCACTGCCGAGTGGCCAAATGATGCTTCCCCCCTTGTCAACCACAGTTCTGCCCTTGAGAACTCTGGAGGGAGAAGGATCTTCTAGGTTTATCAAATGGAGGAATGACTAAGTCAGGAAAGTCATTTTATTGCATTGTTTGCTTTTGGTCATTGAAGATAAGAAAACAAAAATATGTATTCTGCACTAAAGGCTTTTTCCCATCTCTCTTGAACTCCATGAAAATATTTATCCTCTGAAATGAACGATGTGAAGAGGGAAGGTATTTCCGTTGTCTTTGGCAAATGTAAAACACAGTTTGCTTTTTCCAAGATGTGAATTTATTGGTAATCTCCCTTGATATAAAACTAATGTCTAAATGGTCTTTTTTCTTTCCCAGCCAACCCAAAATGCTTTTAAGCAAAAGAATGAGTTGGAAGCCAATTATTAAACCTGGGCATCCTGAAACATTTTTTGAGTGTGTGTGTGTGTGTGTGTGTTTAAGAAATGTGATTCTTTGCTTTTTATTATTTCCCTCCTTCCCCTCCTTGATGCTACCTTGGTAGCTGCCATGTTCTAAATATTGACAAGATGAGATAGTTTTCTGTTTATATCAGCAGTCGTCTGTCTGTGAGATATGGACGAATCAGAACGCTGGATTTCCTTTCTCAGCCATCCATCAGGTTCATAATGTAAGGTTACAAATGGTTATTTTCTTTCCTGAACTTGCGCTATGTAATGTGTTGCAAAGTGTTGTCAGTAGCTGCAGGTACTGTGTCCTGGCAATGCAGACGATCTGTGATGTCTAATGACTCCTGAGATCTTGTCTCTGATACTTCATTCACTGTGCCTTGTGACCAGTTGACGTGCAAACATTGTCCTAAAATGAGAAACATACCTGGTTTTTAAAGTCTGCAGTTAAAATCTGTTTCATGTGAGTTTTGGCTTTCATCCCAGGTGTCTGTGTTAACTTGCTTTTACAGGAAGAAGGAAAAGGGTAAATTGATATATATATATATACACATGTATATATCAGTGTTATTCTTCCCCATCTTGTACTTCCCCATGTCCATGGGCTAGTCAACCCATCCTGTCCAAAAGTTCTCAAAGGTTCATGTGCTTCATTCACTTGTGAGAAATATTTGAGTCTGATTTGCATGGTAGTCTGTATCCATTTTACGCGAGCGTGGGAGTGGTATGGCCGGAAGCGGCATCGTTACAGCTACAGAGTGGTTCTCAGCCTTTTTCCACTGGACAATACTGAATTGATCTTTGGAATGTGCGTGAAATCGTGACCCATTTTACTCTGAGCTGTGTAATATTCAAATGTTCACAGCTTACCTCTGCACACTTAAAAAAAAAAAAAATTTGTTTGGGAAGTAGACATTTTAATGTTTGGTCTTTTCTGTTTTGTATTTTAAATACAATCCTATTTTCATATCCTGTTAAATTTTTCCCATCGGATAGCCTGCTGCCTGAGAGGTTGAGGCATTTGGTTGAGAATCACTAAGGAGAGCTCTCGGGGCGGCATGTGAAGGGCCTACTTTCAGGGTGCCACGTCAGGCACACCCCTCCTGTGCATGGGACTTCTGGCTCTTGGGCTCGTGGGGTCTGTACATTGCCTGGTACTGATGCTCTAGTGACCCAGCAGTCCCTCCTGAACCCGTAAATGCTAACCAGTGCTTTTTCATGTTCAGAAGTGGCCATCTCTGCTCTTTATCATCCAAAGGAACAAATTTAGTATAACCAGCTGCATTTGACCAAACTAGCATTCTTGATTCTGGAAGATTTTTTAAAGACCTGCTGTAGCATCCTGCTTCCGTGTGTATGTGAATGTTTGTAGGAGGCCCTTCCTTACATTCACACCCAAACCCATGCCTACATATTTATAAGCGTAGAGCTCTATGGAGCATTCTTCAAAGCCTCAGAGATAACAGAAGATAAATGTAATCACATACATCTTATGGAAGTTTGGGTAGCTCATCTCTGATCGATATTTGTCAGAATTCTTGAAAGTGAAGCCTTAACCTAACAATCGTCATTTAAAATCATTTTCGTTTTTCATTAAGTGTTCTGAAGAAATAGAGAATAATGTTTATTAATATTCAGATCTAAATTTATAAGCAGGTAGGTGGAAACAGTTCCTAGTAGAAAAGATTTAAAAGCTGCTATTTAAAAAAATCAATTAAATCCTAATTTTAAAAAAATCTAAAGAATTAATACAAGGCTTGGAAAATACCATACCTTTCTGTTCATGTTAGGAAGCTAAGTCATAATTCTGGCTTTTAATTATTTACTGACATCCTTAGGAAATGTTTTTCTCAAGAAGAAAATAAGGATATAGACGATGTTCCCTTCATATGCACAGAGAGCATAGAGAATATGTAGTATCTTCAATTTCCATGTTTGGAGGAGAGAACTCTGCAATACGATGTTTTTGCATTTGCCTTATGTATCTGGTGCATATGAATGAAAAGTCACGCAGCTTTAGCACCTTTTGGAATAAAGGAAAGCTGCATTTTAGGCTCTGCCATCCAGTAAAAACCTATCTGTAGACTTTTGTGAATTTTTTCCTGGGCTATAACTAAATTCAGTTAGTGGTTTTATACTTTTCAGCTGGTGGGATAAAAGACATTTGATTTAATTGCATCATATTAAGTATGGCCCCACCGTAGCCCTTCACACTCGGCCACACTGTGCATGCCGAGTTGGCAGTTGGTAAATACCTATTCAACAGAATCAATTTTCCATTTAAAGCTCTAATCTCAAATTATATTATTTCTTTATATTCAAAGTTTAATTTTTATTTGAGCTGGAAAGGGTACTTAATGATGTCCATTTTCCTTTGTTTCATTGATAATATCCTAAAGGAAATACATACATACATACCGCATAAATGAGGTTTTAAGCCATGACCAAATTCTTGGAATATTAAAATCACTCAATACATGAACATAAAGAAAATGTTTAAGTATTTTAAGTGCTCTAAAAAAGTAGCCTGAAGACATTTAGTAAGAGTGCCTTGAATCATTGAATTTCTCTTCTATAATTACTTAAGCATTTTAAAGAGTACTGCCAGTCAGTAATAGTTTAAAATAGAATTTTACCCCAACCTTTTCCTGTTTTGTTATTCTATTTAAATATAATTGCATCACTGTTACCTATGTTTAGATCTACTGTTTATTAAGGATAAGGTTTAACTATAAACCATTCTTTGAGGCAAAAGACTTTTTAGGTCTGTTTGATTTTTTCATATTTAACAAAATTTTTTTAAACTGGTAAATTATTAAATTAACTTTGTTAATTTACCTGGAGAACTAATTTTATTAATTTGCCTGAGGAAATACAGGTACCATCTCGATAAGAGTGTACTATTTTACAAGACCTAACGATGGGCCTCCCAGTTTGGAGTTATTTTATAGCTAAGATAGAAACCCCAATTTACCTTTTGGTTTCTCTCACCAGTCCCTGCAGTGTACTGCCCTACCCACTTCCTCCGTAGTTCCTTCCTGCTGCAGTCCAGCCTCCAGGATGGGTGAGCCCTAAGGCACCCTTATTCTCTCAACTCTTGTTTTTACTGTTGGTGGACCAGTTGAAGCTATAACCCACCCTAAGACCTAGGCCATACCTCCCCCTGGCAGAAGGGTGTCACCAAATCTGTCCATTCTCATAAAACTAACTCCAGAGAGAGGACTCAACACCTGCAGGTGGAGTCATATAAATATTCTTTGGTCTAAAGTTAAACACAATAAGAATAAGCTGATGAATTTCTAGGAAGCAAATACATTTATTTTTTTATAACTTCAATCTTAAGAACACTTTGCCCTCCTTTGAAAATGAACGTCTGGAAATGGGCCCTAAATATGACAAAACTCAGTTCCTATTTCCAGAAAGATAGATTCAGTCCCTATCTAGAGAATTTAAAAATGTTTGGACCGGAGCCATGTTTCAAGGCCACAAAGAACATAAAGGAAGGATTGTACTTCTCTTCCCTATACTTTCCTCCCCTCCCACCTAGCGCGTAGGGGAGGCCCAGTGCGATCACTGAATTCAAAGCAGGAGGCTTGTGATTTCTGGACAGAGTGGAGTCCTAGAAGAGCAGATGATGGCGCTGCCTAAACTGAGTTAAATGGATGTGCCACGCGTTTCTTCAAGTGGTTATCAAATAAGAGGCCGGGATGATTTCCAGACCAAGGTGGTATGTGCTGGGGCTTGTTCTTCCCAAAATGGCTGCTACAACTTATGGGGATGATGTGAATATTTGAATCAGCATTTGGCTGTAGTTCTGCTTTACATCTATGGAACTCACATTGAAGTTTAATTATAAAAGTGCCTGAGTTAATTCAACAATTAGGGAATGAGTTTGCATATGATTTGCATGCTTAATGTACTGACCCCCTGAAATGTCCCCATAACCCCAGCTTCATCCCACTCACGCCCACCCCCAGCCCTACCCCCAGCCTTTGCACCGCAACCCAGGGTGCCCCCAGCTCCTGCCATGTCTGTTCAGGCTGCTGTGAGAGCTGCCTGTTGAGCTTGGCCCAGAGATACCTCAGCTAAACTAAGACAGGGCTAACGCGAAGCTCTGACGCTTGGTCTCAGTTGTCACCTCAGCAAACACTGGATCGAAAGGTCTTTTAACGTCAAACAACTCCTCCTTTTGTATCATCCCACGGAGTTGCGTGCAAACATCTGTTGTCCTGTTAACAGTGTCACCCGTGACTTAAATGTACAACACCTGTTTGCTGTGTTGTTGTTGCTTTATCGAGGGAGGGGAAGAAGGTGAATGGGGCGGACTAGAGGATTTGCTGGATTTGGGGAGAGCTTTTTAATTAAGAACTCCTAGCTGCATGTTTTCAGAGTTTTAACTGTAGGTATTATCACTTAAATTACATTCAGCTTAAATTACATTCAGCTTCAAAATAGTACTGAAATCCACATTTTCTACATTTTCAATTTCATACAATTTTTTTTTTAAGAGCAAATCACAGCCAGTTGAATTAAAAGACTGAGAGATGATACAGACCAGGTGTTTGAAAGAGAAGGAAAAGAAAAGATCATAATAGGCAGCCAGAGGAAAACTTTCTCCTAAAATTAATTGCAGACAGTCTTTTTTTTTTTTTTTTACAAAATAAAAGTTATAAAGAGAAAACTCAAGAATGAGTCAGGGATGGGTCATAAGACAGACAAAAATGCTAAAGTAATTATTCCAGGTAAAGTCTTACCAATTTCAACAGACAGGAGATAAGAGAACCAAACCATATGCAAGTAAATTAGCAACTAGAACAAAACTAACACAGAGAGTGGCTTAGACTAGGGCGTGAGGAGCTCGAGGGACTCTGGTAGGTCACGTGCTCCAGTGAGAAGCTAATGAGCTCGCAAGATACTAATTGCGCTACCTGAGTCTGGGAGTGACTCATCTCGAGAAGAGCTTCAGGTTCTCTGCCTCAGTGAAAAGGCCCGTGCAGTCCTGAGGGGCTCTATAGAGTTTTCCTCTAGTTTTTCAAAGACAGAAACTTCAGAAAGCAAAGCCTATGCCCAACACTTCCCAGCGTTAGCAGCCGCGGCATGTGCCACCTAATGTAAGTCCAGACTGCACAGAGAGAATTGGAACGCTAGTCCTCTTCCCCAGAACACATGTCCCGTTGAAGCTCTTCCTGGAGACTTGCGGTTTTTAAGCTGTTGGAGTTTCTGATCCTTTCAAAGAATTTAATGAAAGCTGTAGACTTTTTTCTCCCCCAAAACATACACCTACATCCAAAATTTTGCTTTCTTATCCTAGATTCCTTGAAAATCCTCCTTAAGAAACCCTACAGTATCAACCCATTTGCTAGTACTTCTGTAGAACTTGGTCTCTGACCAAGGTTTTACTTGGTTTGGGAGCTCGTGAGACCTATTTATATTCTTCCAACTCCTGAGAAAGGTAATTCGTTAATTCTGCAAGAGCAGCCAAATCCAGATTAAAAGAGAGTGGCTTTGGAAATCTGCCTGTTGTCTAGTTTTTGTTAATGTCCATTTGAGAACAAAGAACTGAATTTCGAGAAATTAGAACCTTTTCCAGGGAAAAGAGTGAGAAATCACCCGTGTATAATATCTAAATCGGACCAGAACCCAGAAAAGACCTGCCAGCACCGGCCTTTGACTTTATAGATGCTCACACTAAGCCATTATAGTAATAAAACTAGTCGAGGCTAACCTCATGGAAAATGATAGATGGAAGGATGGGATGTCCTTCTGTCTCAGGTCTGTCTTAGTGGGCGTATGCATTAAATGATAGGCCATCATATGTGCATGTGCTTGTATTTGTGAATTAAGATCCTCAAGTACATGCATATTGCACGTATGACCAAACTTGGTATTTAAATGTTTATTATTCATTTGTGCTTAAGGTTTCCTGAGAAAGGTAGCTGAACACATCCAAGACCGTCATGTGGCATTTTATCAATACAAGTGAATTCAGATGAGGGAAACTAGCCACCCATTCGTAAATTTTTCTTCAAAAATTTTGTTTAGAATCACACTTACACTGTCTTTTCTCCAGAGATCTAAAATCATCCCAAGTACATGGTACATGTCATATTTGGAAACTGAAATTCATGGAACTGTGTATTCTGAATGTAAAAGCAATTCAGACTAAAAAGTTCAAATAACTAAGCTTAAGAACAGAAGTCTTTCAAAGGTCATATGTTCTTTTTCTGTTGTAACAGAAAATCATGAATTAGTGCATCATTTATGAATATCTCCATGTTTTATTTTAAAATCACTTAGTTTAGGGTGTCCTTCTAAAAATGGAATAACTTCTTTCACGCCCCAGAAATTAACTCAGCTTTGGGAAATATGATGCTACCACATATGTAAAACCGTAATAACCAGTAGAAGTATTTCTACACATATAATACACCCAAATGCATTTGCCCATTCCAGCACCCATGTATAAGATGAACTCAGGCTAGCTGTAGGAAATGAGCTTTGCCGACTGCTCATATTACCTCTAGAATAAATGTCGTTTTCAGACAGGAGACTGGGGAGAACCTTCCATTACCTTGCGACCTCCAAATGAAGCCACAGCCTCAACCCCAGTACAATACTGGCAACACCACCCAGAAAAGCTCATCTTCCAATCGTGTGATTACAAAGCTTTTGTAAGTTACCATAAATTCAGTATTTGGGTACCAGTGGGGATGGAGGGTGTATTTCTGGTCTGTTCACTTTTATATTGAAAATAGGCCAAAATGTCCTCGCTGAAGCTCTTAAAGTGTTCCCTTCTCTTTTTCTTAAAGTAACCTTTTCTATACAGAGAAAGTCCAAGTAAAAAGAGCTTAATAATCCCTTTTTTTTTTAAGATTTTACTTATTTATTTGAGAGAGAGAGACTGAGAGAGAGAGAGCACATGAGAGCGGGGAGGGTTGGGAGGGTCAGAGCCGAGCAGGGAGCCTGATGCGGGACTCGATTCAGGGACTCCAGGATCATGACCTGAGCCGAAGGCAGTCGCTTAACCAACTGAGCCACCCAGGCGCCCTTAATAATCCCTTTTAATCTTGTGAATTTAAGGTCTATTTTGCCTTCTTCTTATACAGTTGTATGTTTTAAATGAAATGTGATAAAGCCCAATCTTAAAATGGAAATGAATATAAATATAACACGTAGACATCAACACTCACTCACCAATGATCTCAAAACACTGGGTCTACTACCAGATTTTTTTCATTAGGATTATATTACTGGGTACTTTTTTCTAATAGGAGAGAGAATCAGGCTTAGCTGAGAATCGCAAGAAACATGAACAGGTGAATGTTGAAAAAATACCATAGGTTTGGGGACAGGTGGTTGTCATGACTACAGCAGGAAAAGTAAAATCACCTCATTTAAAAAGAAATGTTTCAATTCGGACAAACTTCCCCAATAACTGAGAAGGCAAGGATTTCTCCGAGATCATTTTCCTTAATTTGATTAAGACGTGCGCGTTCTGGTTGTCGCATAGCAATTTCGACCCTTTTTTCATTTTGTTATCCATCCCTCTTTTACTGCCTGCTTATAGTGGAGCATTGGATTTATTTCAGCAGTAAGCTCCCCCACACTGTGGGACTGAAAGGCCTCCTTCCTGCAAAGCTCAAACGCCACACGAACCCCTGAGCCTTTCGGAACGCGCGTTGCCTCGGGCCCTTCGCCACGCCCTCTGCTCCCTGCAGGGCACGCCCCTCTTCGCGTCGGGCATTCCTGGGCTGCGCGCCGGATTCCCAGTCCTGGTTTTGCAGCGTGCCATGTCAGGAAAATAATTATTTTGCGGGTTTTTTGTTTTGCTTAGTTTTTAAGACACATAGAACTCTTATTTTGTGTGTGTGTTTTTTAAAGACACATAGAGCTCTCTCGCTTTCTCTTTTTTTTGGAAGGAGATTAGGGAGGGAAAAAATGACAAAAGAAAGAAATCCTATTGAAGCTTCAAAAAGTTGAAGAGGAGTCAACTGATGGAAAGGCAAAACAGACATTTTGCTACAAACTCTTTGTCCCCCCCATCTCCCAGCCAGAACTTGGAGAGTGAGTGGCGTTTTGTACCAAGACAGTATTGGATTAGATCATCTAACAGCAAAAAGATTGGTAATTCTTGGGAGGAGACGTTCTCATCTCCCTCCTACCCCATTCAGCGCCCGCGCACCGCCCCCCCCCCCGCATGTCGGTTTGCACCAGGAACTGGGCTCTCTCACTTCTGGAACAACCGAGATGCCATTCCCTCTCCCCGCAGGCTTCCATCTCCTGCGCATCCCATTCTCAGGTGGATCAGCCACTGGGCGTGCAGCTGTGAATGAAAAGACCCCAAACTGCATCTCCGCCTGAGAGCGGCCTAATGTTAATTACCTACGCAGCCAACTCAGCCCAAATTGGGTGCATGTCGCTGAGCTTCTCAGCTGTCTCATACAACCCTGTAATTACGTAGAGAGTAGCGTGATTTATTTTTGCAGACATTGCTGCCTCAAAAAAAAAAAAGGGAAAACATTTTTAGATGCCCCCATTTTGCAGTTAAATATGATTTGAAAGATGGCATCTTTAGAAAATGCTGCAGTTTTATTATAAAGAGCAATTTACAGCTCTCAACTCTAGTTAATTCTACAGCATTCTCTCTCTAAAAGCATTTATTTGTTAGGATTAGTTACTGTTAGTTTTTAAAAGTTATTCAACAACTTTCAGCCAGGAAGCCAAGCCAGTAGAACTTCCACAGTTTGGTTTTAAATTGCAACTCATATTTATATCCTTTTTTTCATAAATCATTGAATTGTTTTGCATTTTAGTATTTAGGTTCTATGCTGATAAAAGAGCTCAGAGGGACAGAATCAACCCAAGATGCCTGTGCAAAAATGCGGGTAAGTTTGCCAAACATTTTTATTTCTAGTTGCTGAAATACTAAATACCGGGTATGGTTACAAATTGCCACTTTTCAAATGACTATTTTCTTCATCTGCTGGTCTGCTGAATCACATTGCCTTTACATAAAAAAGGTGTTTGGGCTTTGTTCGTGTTTATACTTGAGCTTAGCTCACTGTAGTGTGAGTTGATGTCTGTTGGACGTATGGATGTATTTATGCCACGTTGCATTTACTCTTATTTTTAAAGATTTAAAGTTAATTGTATGTACATTGGTCATTCTCCAGATTAAGAGAAAAATGGTCTTTAGTTTATTGCAAGAAAACGGTTTAAGCACCTACCTGCCGGTCTGAGAATATTTACTGTAAAGACCACCAATTAACTAAAAAATTATCAAATGCTCAAGTATTGAGAGCTTATTATATAAAGCTAATATTCCTTATGAGACTTCTCAATTCTGGGGTTTTTTTAGTATAAGAAAAAAACATTCAACTCTGAGTAAATCATGAAAGGGCAGTAAAAGTTGACAAAAATGGCAGTTGTAAATGTCTGTGATCATTGGCCGCTGGATTCCTAGGAGTCTGTATTAGCCAAACCGAATCTTACTCATACTGCACATCCACTGTAGTTTTTTTTTTTTAATGTGTCCCTTATCTTTGCTTCCTCCATTACAGATGTACAGAGGCTGTGGCCATACCTGACAGTACAGATTAAGAATAGTAGACTCATTCCATATAGCAACTAACCAGAGTCAAATTTAAGATTGTTAGCAAGTGAACCCTAACTCTGATTTGTGGCCAGTATACGTTGTTTTATTTTACATGAGCAGTGTCGGGTGGGAAATATTTAAAAATTAAAACAGTTATGAAGGCAAATATGTAATATCGACTGCTCATAGAAAGCCAAGTATGTGTGAATCTTCATGAAATTGAGACCTCCGAATGTGATCGCTGATTTAATATTTGGATCTGTTCAATAGCAGGAAGACTGAAATTAGTTATCCTTCTTTTGATGTAGAGTTATATTGTCAGTGCCAATGAATCTTTTATCCCAGGTACTGTATTTAGATGAAAAAAGCTGTGATATGTGTCAAGAACTCTGTGTTCTGGTTTTGTTGCTGCTTACATTGCTTTGGAAGTCACTCTTAGTCATCATGATAATGACTGCTAATATTTACTGAGTAGTTAAAATATACCAGTCTTCTGTGCTAAGCTGAATGCTTTGCATGTTTATCTCATTTAATCCTACCACAAACCTGGAGTTTAGGGCAGTCCTTATCCCCGTTCTACACGTGAAGAGACTGAGGCTTGGAGAGGTTAGATAACTTTCCCAAGGTCACATAGTGAAGAACTTGCCAATCTGGAACTGGAACACAGGTCTGTCTGACTCCAGAGCCCAAGCGTTTAACTACTCCCCTCCTTCTCCCGGGCCTCATTTTGTCACTTAGAAAATGAGGACATTGGACTAGATGCCCCTTAGGGGTCCTCCTTCGTGGTTTTATAATTCCGGGAATCTTGTATTCTAAATGTATATCTGATCTTAATTATGTCACCAATGAACAAGAAGAAAATGGGAACATTTTTCATTCGTCAAGGCTCATAATAATTTTAGAGCTATTTATGAACACGTCTAAGAAATTAATTTGGCATCTCTGATTTAATACTATTAACTCCGTTATCTGGGTCCAGCTACTTCAATGCTGTAATCAGCATAAATAGTGCATAGAGTACAGAACACCATTTAAAACCAGATTTGTGATTTGAATTTCAGTCAATTTCATGAAATTAAGTGGATCTGAAATTCCATTCTGGTAACAACAGGAAAGCCATTTTAATAGTGTCGGTGGAGAATAATTTAAATACTTGTTGCTGAAAATGAAACAGAAAAGGTCGTCTGTTTAGAAGCCATTCTTCTGTTCTTTGGGGAGTTTTTCTGGTTTGCTGCCCTTGGTGTTTACTTGGGGTCGTTTACATGAAAATAGGAACTTTATTGCTTCTTAGGATATCACCAACTCTTATTTCCCATCCTGATTAAGTATCAGTCTTTGGTACAGTAGCTAAAGTTGCACTCACTGCACGCACTAGAGCCTTTCCTGACTAGAAGCGCAGGCTTGCTGTTATCCGGGACTATTGTGAATTAGAACTCTCAGCAACTGAAAATGGTGTGGCTCTCAACTTGCAATTAATTTTCAGTTTGAACCTCAAGTTGCTATTTTCTCTGTTTTCAATATGGTGGCCTTGAAGGCCAAAGTCCCAGAATCAAGTCCACCCAGGGGAAATACTTTAGGACACAAATGATCTTAAAAGTTGATATATAGTAATATTAGGCCAAAGTACTGTAGATTAACAGCTTGACCTGGTTTACTCTTTCGGTGGGGGAAAAAAGACCTTTTCAATCCAATGGTATGCGTTTTAATTGAAATTAAAATGTCTTTCCCAGTAAGAAGTAAATCAGTATGGTTCTTTATTCTGAGAAATATTTCCTTAGTGTACTTTGTTAACAAAGATGCCTAAGATTTGGCTCCTGCTCTCACTGACTTCAGTTCGGTGGAGGAGTCTAACATGTTAACATTTTAGTTCCCCCAGAGAAGTATCACTGTAGAGGGGTCTTCATGTGGCCCGTAGCCTGCAGGAGCATCCTAGATGATCCCCAAAATGACCTGCAGGCAGGGTCTCTTAAAGTCAGTTTATTAGTACCAATAACAGTTAACACTTGAGAGCCATATAGTGGGCCTTGCACACATAATTATGTGCCTTTATTCACTTAATCATGAGGTAAGTATTGCTATTGTCCCCACTTTTCATATGAGGGAACCAGGGCCAATGAAAGTTAAGTAACTTACCCAAGGTTACCTGGCCAGCAAGTGGTGCATCCAGTGTTTGAACCGGGGTGATTTACCTTTACCACCAAACTCCAAACCCTAGGCTGTACCACCCCTCTAATGAGCCAGTGGAACATTTATTGTCCTGAGTTTTAAAACAGCTGAAAATGTGGATCATTTATATTGATAAAGAACTTTAAGAACCCTCAAAGACTCTGTAAAATTAGCCAAATTAAACCATTTAGGTACAGACATATGTAGTAATTTGGAGTACATTCCAATCTATTAACCTAAATAAAAATTTCAGGAGTGTTTTTATTGCATCCTAAGCAACTATATTTTTTTCCACAATACTTACTTAAACACATGTACTTTGCCCCAGCACAAACCAAACACAATTTTCCCTCTTTGGAAACATTTGGAGTGTTTGGTAGTCACAATCGGCTAATTTCTAAGTTTATCTAAACCTGTTTATTCATCTCTAAGTTCCCCTCCTGTTCTGAAGCAAAGATAATTCTACACTGATGTCCTGGTGTTTAATTAGACACATATTATTTCAATCAAATAGGCCATCGTAAGCTAAGGTGTGTGAGATGATAGGAATTCACATCATTCTACAATATGGAATCACAGGTTAACCAGCCTTTTCCCTCTTTAACCTGTCTTACGATTTTTCTAATAGACTTGACCTGTTAGAGCAATTTTAGGTTAAGAGAAAAACTGAGCATAAAGCACAGAGTTCTTGAATATATCCTCCGTCCACCACGACCACCCTCACAGTTGCCCTTATTAGTAACACTTGCATTGGCGTAGTAGCTTTGTCACGGTTATGAACCAGCATTGTTACGTTCTTGACTAAAGTCTGTGGTTTACATTAGAGTTCATTCTTTGTTGTATACAGTGTTTCGGGTTTTGACAAATGCATAATGTCATGTATCTCCCCTAACAGTACCACAAAGAATTGGTTCATGCCCTAAACCTCCCCTCTGCTCCACCTGTTCATCTCCTCTCCCCTGCCCCCGCAGCCCCTGACAACCACTGACCTTTTTATTGTCTCTATAGTTTTGCCTTTTCCAGAATGTCATATAGTGGAATCATACAGTATGTACCCTTTCCAGACTGGCTTCTTTCATTTAGCAATATGCTTTTAAGCTTCCTTCTTCTACGTCTTTTGTCCCCCCATCTCCTAGCCAGACGTACCACAGTTTGTTCATCCGTTTATCTGTTGAAGGCCACCTTGGTTGCCTCTAGGTCTTGCAGTTATGAATAGAGCCGCTATCAACATTTGTATGCAGGTTTTTGTCTTAAGATTTTTTTTCTCCTGGATTCAAACCCTCTTAAAATTATCTTCTGAATTGTGTTTAGTGAAGAAGAATCAATAGGAACTGACATTAAACCCTGATAATTTTTTTTTTAAGATTTTATTTATTATTTGACAGAGAGAGACACAGCGAGAGAGGGAACACAAGCAGGGGGAGTGGGAGAGGGAGAAGCAGGCTTCCCGCAGAGCAGGGAGCCCGATGTGGGGCTCGATCCCAGGACCCTGGGATCATGACCTGAGCTGAAGGCAGACGTTTAACGACTGAGCCACCCAGTTGCCCCAAACCCTGATAATTTTTTTAAGCAAAACTGCAATTTTTGTCTTATCTTTCAGAGTTTTCTGCAGTAAAACCCTAAGAGATTAGATATGTCTTGATATTGAGGCACACTTTTAGGAAGATTGAGTTCTGTGAATTATTTTGCTCTTCAGCTTGGCTGCTTATTTCTTTTACTGTGACAGCTTTATAGACCTTTCTAGTTAAAATTAAAATCTAAAAACATATTAGTAATGTGTGAGGAGTTTTAAGAGATGTCTGTTTAATCTGAACATACTCATTTAGTACTGCCTTTTATGTTACTGGTTGGGTTTTCCAGCTAACTCTGTGCTCAGAGACAGTCTTCATTTTTGAAAGGACTCCTGAGGGTAAGCATTAGTTCTAAGATCCAGAATACGATGCCCCCAAAGGTGTTCCCCATGGAACACAGAACCTTCCTTCTGTCACCCCTCATGTCACACTGGACAAGCTCCTGGCTCCTCATGCCCCCTGCCCCTTAGAGGGCAAGAACCATGTGTATTGTATCCCCACGGCCTGCCGCAGCATAGCTTCCTTTTAAGGTGGTTTTGATGGTTCAATAAAG